AAAATAATAATTAATATATATAACAAACAATGGAAACACTAATTTTTAACATAATACGTTTGAGAAACGTCTCTAAATTCGAAATGTTTCGTCCCCGTTAATTGTCGATGTCCCTAACATGTTAGAGCATGATCAATGGGGGTGCTTAAAGAGTTCTTAAAATATAAAATTATTAAATTTTGAGTAAAAGGTAGAAAGAGAGTGTTTTTGTGGGGTGTATTGAAATATAAAATTTGAGTAAAAGAGGAGATAGTGGGTGTGTTTAAATATAAAATTAATAAAAGTTGAGTAAAAGAAAGATAGAGTTGCTTAAATAAGAAATTTTGGAGAGTGTTTTTAAAATGATGAGAGAGTGTTTAAATATAAAATTAATAAAAGTTGAGTAAAATGATGAAAGAGAAAGTAAAAAGTTGAGTAAAAGGAAGAGAGAGTGTGTGTTTTAATAATTTTATATTTAAGAACCGAGCTAAGCAACATGCATTGATCATGCTCTTAGAGACATCTCAGAGATGTTTCGGTGGTGTCTCCGAGCCATACCTATCTCCAGGACATTTCGGGTACGGAAGACGGTATCAAAACAAAGTACCCGTGCTTCACAGGTTTTCATTGTACACTAAAGTCATTTTAAGGGCCTTCAAAAAAAAAAAATAGACAAACAATCTCATATTCTCTTCGAGTTTAGCAAAATATGGCAGTAAACAAATCCTCGTTGCCATGACTAATAGATTTGGGCCATTCCATATCATTCAGGGCCCATATCAGTATTGGTTTGTCTTGCAAGATTTTCTTTTAAAAAAAAATCTAAAATGATAAATAAATTCTATGGACCTTACCATAGAGTTAAATATAAAAGCAAGATGTTGACAAAAAAAGAGAGTTAGAGCATCATTATCGCATATATTTTAAAGGTGTTTTAAAGTAAAAATGATTAAAAAATCATTTAGTTATGTGAATTATAGATGAAACGGGTCTGTAGGAAGACACTAATGAATCGGGTCTTCAGGTACATGTGACAGATTTTTATTGGATTGTGTGTAAAAATCAGATATGCTCAATCTCTCCCTCTCTTCTCCTCTTTCTCCGATGAGCTTCTTCCTTCTGATCTCTCTCTCTCTTCTCCTCCTCCGATGATTCTCCCTTCCGATCTCTCTCTCTTCTCCTCATCCGATGAGCTTCTCCCTTCCGATCTCTCTCTCTTCTCTCTCTCTTTTCTCCTCCTCCGATGGGGATTGTGATTGSGATTCATCTCTCTTGGCCAATTTGGGGATTCTTCCATTGCAAAACCTTAACCGCCGGAGATCGGGATGTGAGTGGCGACGACGACGGAGATATAAACCGTTTGGGAAGGAAATAGAGAGGTTTTTAAGGTTCACCAATGGAGGTATAAAAAAATCAAGGTTCTTAGATTAATTTAAGAGCTATTTTCTATTATTAAAAAATGTTTACAAACTCTTTAAGAAGTTTACAGTTAATGATCTTCTTAAAAGCAAGATTATCTAAGCTCTATATGTATATCATCAAACTCAAGACGCGAACCACAGTAGAACGGCATGTAGGGCAACTTGCACTCTTGGAAAGCCATTTATGAATGCAATCACGGTGGAATTTGAGCATGCAATTGCAATCTCCTAACCTAACGTAACCAAAACCTACGTTGTGATCTTCGAGGCATATAGGGCAACAAACTTGTTCTTCATCTCTGTCTTTCTTTGAATTCTTCATTTTCTCCACAGTTCTCTTTAATTTCTCCAAAATTACAAGGCACGGGATTTTCTTTGGCCCAAGAATCTTCTCTTCCTCTTACGTACCTCGTTGAAATTTTTTTTGCCGATCAAAAAGATCAAAGTGCAGTAAGTAGGCCCATAATTAGTTGGAGATGGCAACGGCAAGCCACGAAAGAGTAATCTGTTCTGAAAATTATCATAACCATCAACGGTAAAGATCCATCAAGTATCAATTGAATCAGTGAAGGCTCTACTTTGTTAGATCTAGCTCGACGAGACCAAGCCATTTTAAGCACCGAAACAAAATCTAGTAGTTTTGCAAGTATTCAGGTCTAGTTAGATTCTCAAAGCATCATTATCAATGAGATTTGGTGGGTATCATTAGATATAAAATTATTAAAACACACATTCTCTCTTCCTTTTACTCAACTTTATACCTTCTCTTTCATCATTTTATTCAATTTTTATTAATTTTATATTTAAACACACCCCAACTAAAGTTTAAACTCTCTCCAAAAATATCAACTCATCTCCTCTTTTTACTCAAATTTTATTAATTTTATATTTTAATACACTATTATTTCAACCAAAAACACTCTCTTTCTTCCTTTTACTCAAATTTTAATAATTTTATATCTAATGATACCCACCAAATCTCATGGATAATGATGCTCTCATATATTTAAAAAAATACCACTTTTCAAGTGTCACTTTACAAAAACGCCACACTTTTGTAATATTTACAAAAATGCTACTTTTTCAAAATTATTTTTTCTTTATATTATTTATGTTTGTGTTAATTATATTCAATTGGAATTTAGTTTTGAGTGTTTATGGGGTTTTAGGTGTCAAAATATTTTTTAGGGTTTAGAATTTTAAGATATAGGCTTTATAAATCTACAATTATTTTTTTTGTAAATGGACATCCCTAAATAATATTTTTACAAATGTGAACACAAAAAATAACATTTTTATAATTACTCCTATATCATTTATATCTCCTGATTAATTATATCCCTTCATATATATCCGATTAATTATTATTTTAATGAACTTTCATACAAAATTACTTAAACTCGGTTCACTTTTTTGGTTTAGAACCGAGAGTTAAGTTTGACTTGTGTTAATTTAAAACAGCTAGCCATTAGGCTAATAAACTCAGTTCATACTAGAGAGATTCTTACTTATTCTACTCTATCACAAATAATCAACATCAAACTTAAAAAAAATTAAAAACTTAATTTCTTATGAAGACTGATATATATATATATTTTTAGAAATTTTTAAAAATGTCACTTTTCAAATGCCATTTTAAAAAATATCACAATTTTTCAAAATTATTTATCCTTTATATTATTTATTTTTGGATTAATTATGTTTTATTATGGTTTAGTTTTGAGTGTTTAGGGGGTTTTAGGTGTCAAAACATTTTATAGGGTTTAAAATTTTAAGATATAAATTTTATAAATCTATAATTAGTGATATTTTTGTAAATAAATACTTTCTAAATGGCATTCTTACAAATACATACAAAAAATGATATTTTTGTAATTGCCATTTTTTTTTTCCTAAAAAAAGACTGATATATTCACAACATAACTATTTCGATCTCCTCGCCGTCTTTCACTGTGTTATAATATTTTTTTTTTTAAAATGTACACAATTGTAATTATCTATTTTTAGTATACACATTGAACCATTTTTTTGTTGTTTTCGGTTGGATGTTCAACTGTGGAGCATAGCGTGAAAGATACGTTTATGGCATCTTTTGATATAATCTTCTCTCGGTAGGTCCACTTTTGATCTGATCTATTATCTATATGGAATGTTGTGTTTGCTCCGCGAAA